TGTTTTTATCATATGATAGAGAATGATTTGATAGTATATTCTGTTTGATTCTCGGAACCTTTATGAAATGTTTGGAAAAAAATTAGTTGCTATATTTTAGCCATCGTTGTATTTGAACTTTTCATGAGGTTTGAGATTTAAAAAATTTTAACTGAAAGTACTCAAAAGTACTTTACATTCTTTTAATTGTTTTATACATAGGGTTCTTATTATACCTTATGTTCTTTAGTATGATTACTTTTTTGTCTTTATTGTATAAGGAGTGTTCTCTCTTTTGTTTAAAGGCCTTAGTCATATTTAAGGCTTTTATTGATCTTATTGAAACTTTTAATAATTGTGGACCTAATAGATTACCTCATAACAGCAGGCATAAATGTTAGCTTTTGGTTGAGAATGCAAAACAAATTGTTTGTCCTGAACAGGAAAAGACTAGCGGCGTTACTTAAGCAGGAAAGATTGTAAGCATTACCAGATTTTTCCTTTCATCCTTTGTTGAAAAGGAAGCTCCCAGGTAGAATGTATAATATACAAGCTGGTATCAGAAGATGTTTGTTGGTTTTGTGTTTAAATATGAAGAGAATGTTTAAATTGCTTGAATAACATATTTAGGTTTTGAAAAAGTTTGTTTTGATATTGTCATCAACTAATGTAGCCAAATCTGCTGCACTTCTAATAATACCCTTCAATTAATTCTGGGTTATGCTTGTTTCTCAATTACTCTTTCAACCTGATCAGAACATACCACCAATTCGTCTCCGACACAGACGATCACGCTCTGCAGGAGACAGATGGGTAGATCATAAGCCCGCTTCTAACGTGCAGACTGAAACAGTCATGCAGCCACATGTCCCTCATGCCATCACAGTATCTGTTGCAAATGAAAAGGCACTAGCCAAGTGTGAGAAGTACATGCTGACCCACCAGGAACTAGCCTCCGATGGGGAGATTGAAACTAAAGTAATTAAGGTAAAAACCAATTTACACAGGTGGAAAAAATATATTAAAAAAACTTAAAAAACCATTTGCCTTGTTACTCCTTTGATGACAATACAGGCAGTGTCAACTGGAACATAAATGGGTATTTATGTAACCTGTTAGGAGAAAATTAAAGTAACTGTTTAAACTGTGAATCTGCTATAGGGACTAAATTTGCTTAAATAGGCTTAGATACTCAGGTTTCTTAGAACTCCAGATCTATAATGTACTTTAATTACTGTATATTTAGGTTTAAGCCATACTTAAAAGGTAAACATAAACAAAGAACCTAACTTTGCTCTCTGTCAGTTCAGGATAAAAAAGCCCATGTTACAATTTGACCTATCAAAAGTATTCAGTATTGAGCTATATAAAACTTGTCTGCCTGTAGAAAAATTTTCCTTTAATC